AAAATACTTGGTTTTTTTAATGCTGATGAGAAATTATTATTTTTGCATTTTTTCGCCATTAAATATTAGAGAAGCATATTGTTATAATAATTATATTTATTTCAAAAGATTTTATGATAAACCGTGATTTAATGTTAAAAAAATTAATTTTTTACTCATTAAAATATAATGTGTTTTTAACTAAGTTTATTATAAAAATCGAAATTACTTCAAACTGAAACTAACTAAAATATTCGTTTTGAAATAAAACAACATTATTCCATTTTTCTATCTGTTATTCTACATTTATTGTAAATACCACTCTTTTAAAAATCTATTTATAGTTTTTAACATTTCTGCTCTCCCGCTGTTATTTAACATTATATTTTTCCTCTTTGCTATAAATTCAGTTTTATCGGCTGTTAAATAATTCTTGCTTTGGCCGAGTTAGCTAAGTGGTTGTGTGTTTTATTCAACAATACATGAGTTGTTTAAATTACCCAACGTGTTTGCGAGTTCGATCCCGCTGTCAAGCAAAAGTAGAAAAACATGAATTTATTCTTTCATTTCAATACAATATGATTTGAATGTTTGTGTGTTCAATTCTATTCACTCTCCATACTCAATTCTACTCTGCCCCTATGTTTGTTATTGGGAATTGCTATATGAGGCGGTTTTCATTTCCACTTGGGGCTATAGAAATTACGTTTCCGTCACTCCACGGGGTTGCTGCGTTTAATTACCAAGCTGATGACTCCACTAACCTGGAAAGTACAGATTTTTTTGTTTTTTTTTTTAATAGATATAGACCGAAAAGATAGATCAACAGACTTTTAACACTATAATATAGAATAGACATAGATTATAAACTATATACTACTCTATAAACTAGACTACAAACTAGATTCTAAACTATACTGCAGACTAGAATATATACTACACCAGACAATAAGACTGTACTAGATTATAGATTAGTCTTTAGACTATACTATTATAAACTACATTATAGACTAGACAATAGACTGGACTATAAACTACACTTTATACTATACTAAATAAAGCCCACAGAATATAGACTAATAGACTAGAATGTACTATAGTCTAGACTATTATAGTATATAATACTATATACTATAGAGTAGACCATAGATTATACTATAGACTAGACTACAAACTAGTCAATATTCTATAGACTAGAATATAAACTAGACCACAGACTAGAATATATAATAGACCAGACTATAGACTGGACAAGACTATAGTCTATAACTAGACTACAAACTAAACTATGGACTAGAATATAAACTTGACTACAAACTAGACTACAAACTAAACTATAGACTAGGCAATATACTAGGCTATAAACTAGATTACAGACTAGAATATATACTAGACCAGACTATAGACTAGACTACAGATTAGTCTATATACTATATACTATAGACTGACTAGACTATAGATTAGTCTATAGACTAGACTATAGCCTAGACTATAAACTAGACTACTAACTAGACTATAGACTAAACTATAAACTAGATAATAGAATAGACTATAAACTAGATTATAACCTAAACTATAAACTAGACAATAGCCTAGACTTGACTTTATACTAGACTACAGCCCACAAAATGTAGACTAGAATATACTATAGTCTAGACTATAGACTAAACTATACACTAAACTATAGACTTGACTATAGAATATACATAGAGAGACTACACTAAAGACTAGACTATATACTAAACTACAGACTAGACTGTAGTATAAACTACAAACTTGACTATAGACTGACTAAAGACTAGTTTATAGACTAGACTATAAACTCGACTAGACTAGTTTATAGAATAAATTATAGAGTAGACTATAGACACGACTATAGAGTAGACTATAGACTCGACTATAGTCTAGACTATAGACTATACTGTAGATTAGACTATAGACGGGACAATTGACTAGACTATAGACTAGACTATAGACTAGTCTATAGACTAGACTATAGACTCGACTATAGACTGGACTATAGACTAGACTATAGACTAGACTATAGACTAGACTATAGACTAGACTTGACTTTATACTAGACTACAGCCCACAGAATATAGAGTAGAATATTATAGACTAAACTATACACTAAACTTTAGACTTGACTATAGAATATACATTATACTGGACTATACACTATAGACTAGACCATAGATTATACTATAGACTAGACTATAGAGAGACTACACTTAAGACTAGACTATATACTAAACTACAGACTAGACTGCAGTATAAACTACATACTTGACTATAGACTGGACTATAGACTAGACTATAAACTCGACTAGACTAGTTTATAGAATGAACTATAGACTAGCCTATAGACTAGACTATAGACTAGACTATAGACTAGACTATAGACTAGACAAACTTGACTATAGACTGACTAAAGACTAGTTTATAGACTAGACTATAAACTCGACTAGACTAGTTTATAGAATAAATTATAGAGTAGACTATAGACACGACTATAGAGTAGACTATAGACTCGACTATAGTCTAGACTATAGACTATACTGTAGATTAGACTATAGACGGGACAATTGACTAGACTATAGACTAGACTATAGACTAGTCTATAGACTAGACTATAGACTCGACTATAGACTGGACTATAGACTAGACTATAGACTAGACTATAGACTAGACTATAGACTAGACTTGACTTTATACTAGACTACAGCCCACAGAATATAGAGTAGAATATTATAGACTAAACTATACACTAAACTTTAGACTTGACTATAGAATATACATTATACTGGACTATACACTATAGACTAGACCATAGATTATACTATAGACTAGACTATAGAGAGACTACACTTAAGACTAGACTATATACTAAACTACAGACTAGACTGCAGTATAAACTACATACTTGACTATAGACTGGACTATAGACTAGACTATAAACTCGACTAGACTAGTTTATAGAATGAACTATAGACTAGCCTATAGACTAGACTATAGACTAGACTATAGACTAGACTATAGACTAGACTATAGACTAGACTATAGACTAGACTATAGACTAGACTATAGACTAGACTATAGACTAGACTATAGACTAGACTATAGACTAGACTATAGACTAGACTATAGACTAGACTATAGACTAGACTATAGACTAGACTATAGACTAGACTACTATAGACTAGACTATACTATAGACTAGACTAGACTAATAGACTAGACTATAGACTAGACTATAGACTAGACTATAGACTAGACTATAGACTAGACTATAGACTAGACTATAGACTAGACTATAGACTAGACTATAGACTAGACTATAGACTAGACTATAGACTAGACTATAGACTAGACTATAGACTAGACTATAGACTAGACTATAGACTAGACTGACTAGACTATAGACTAGACTATAGACTAGACTATAGACTAGACTATAGACTAGACTATAGACTAGACTATAGACTAGACTATAGACTAGACTATAGACTAGACTATAGACTAGACTATAGACTAGACTATAGACTAGACTATAGACTAGACTATAGACTAGACTATAGACTAGACTATAGACTAGACTATAGACTAGACTTAGACTATAGACTAGACTATAGACTAGACTATAGACTAGACTATAGACTAGACTATAGACTAGACTATAGACTAGACTATAGACTAGACTATAGACTAGACTATAGACTAGACTATAGACTAGACTATAGACTAGACTATAGACTAGACTATAGACTAGACTATAGACTAGACTATAGACTAGACTATAGACTAGACTATAGACTAGACTATAGACTAGACTATAGACTAGACTATAGACTAGACTATAGACTAGACTATAGACTAGACTATAGACTAGACTATAGACTAGACTATAGACTAGACTATAGACTAGACTATAGACTAGACTATAGACTACTTATACTAAAACTCGACTATTGACTAGACTTGAATACAGACTATAGACTGTAACTAGACTCGATTAGCGAGTTTGTTCGACTAAACTGACTATATGCTTGATACAGTAAAGACTAAGACAAATTCCATTAACCCAATTAACTTTAGACTAAGCTTTAGTCAAGAATAGACTATATATTGGACAGTAGTTGAGCTATTTGACCTATAAAATCGCAATTGAATTTCCATGATGTAATAGTTTTTCCTTTTGAGAACTTGTGCATTCCCTTTGTTATCTCTCAGTTTTGTTATCTCATAATAAAACACATTTTGTTTGAATTTCAACATTGTCTTTTTTTGTACATTACTGTTTATTTTAGCAAATATTATGTATGTACTTCTTCTCCTGCTGAACAATTTTGTTTATACTTTACACAAAATTAATTGTAAAACTTTTCTCAAACATGTTTACAAGTGAAAGTATAATAAAGAAAAAGGCCGAATAAATTAATATGGGTGTTAAAACGTTTTGAGAAGTTACATGCTTAAATACAATAAAATATTGCACTAATTGTCATTTCCATACGCAAAAAAATGAGGTTCAAGTGCCAAAAGCTATTAATATTAAAAGATATTACACAATATTTAAGCAGTTAAGGGTACAACAAAAATTATAATTTGCAAAAATTTATATAAAATAAGAAAAAACTCTTAATAGCTTTTAAGTAACATAAAAAGTAAAAGTTAATTTATAAAATATATAAGAATAGAAATGGTGGTTTCTTCAAAACTTTTCTTTACAATTAAAGAAAAGATTGGAAGTTTGTATGTAATATATATTTAACTAGTTGCTAATTAAACAACTAGTTTAAACGGCAGTTGGTTTCTTTTTAGTTTCTAAAACTAGAGTATTTATGACAGAGAGTATCAACAAAAAAGAAAGTTCTTAGTTAGGAGTGTTTGTTAAAAAGCTGCTGTTGTTTATATTACTAATAATTAGTTGTTATAACTGAGAGTTAGTAATTAAACTTAATGTAACTTTTAACTATTTACTAGTTATTTATCTAAAATGTTGTGAATAATGCCATTTTGTATTTGTGTTCTTTTGGTTAGTATCGATATTTTGTAGTTTATTTTATTTTATATAATTTAAACATTTACAATTGTTTTTTAATAATTTTTAACAAATTTCTTGTTGCTTATTATTAGGATTTGATTTTTCAGTTTCCTTTTTTTCTATAGAATTTTCGTTTAATAAAACCTTATTGTTTAATTAAGTCAAATATAGCCTTTATATTTTGTTTGTTTTAGGGGATATAGATATTTTAAACTAATTTGTTTTGTTTAGAATAGAATAAATAGTATTACACTTAAACAAATTCATATCCAATACCAAATTGAAAACCATTTTCCACTCTATCACCCGCACATTTACGCAAAGGTACACAATAGTTTAATTCTATACGAGCACGTTCAGCCAATTTAAATGCCA